ATTAATATCTATAAAATATATAAAGTTGATATAAAAATTTATATAATATTAATTAAAAATATTTTAATTAATAAATTTTAATATGTGTTTTGATAAACTCATAAATAAACAAGGTTGTTGCCTCTTACATAAAAAGACATATTATTTAATATTTTCTTACAACATAGTGTGATGCAATTGTAATCATCATAAAATTACATTATGTAGATTGTAATCTTGAAGAATTCATTTTCATTAACTATTTTTAATTAAAAAAAAAAAAAGAAAACCTTGGACAATTTTTTCTGATTGTGATCACATGTTGAGGAGTACATATATGATGAAACCAAATAATAACGAACGCTATAATAATAAGGGGGTATGCATTGCCTATTTTCAAAAACATAATAATAATAAGGATTTTTTTAATTTATATTTTTTAAATAGAAGTTAAAAATATATTTTTAAAAGAATTTTTATAAAAAATATAAAAATAAATATTAATTTTAAAATTAATATTATGTAAATAAATTTAATTAAATAATTAATAAATTAAATATTATTTTTTATTTTTTAAAAACTATTAAATTACACCTTTAAAATATAAAATATAAGTTAAAAAACCTAATAATAATAAGAAGGAAGAAGAACGTGGTAATGTTATGGCGGCCTTGACCGTCCCGAGGAAATCCCGTGCCCCAAAGATGGGGCCCGCTAATATGTACCAGATCAAACCTACGTATGCCACGTGGCCACGTACGTGTAGTCTGCTACGGTACGAACGATTCGCTAGATGTCCGGTACTGTAGAGAAATTTGAATTCAAAAAGGCTGGGATCTGGTGTGATCAATCTCACTTGGAGCTCTTGTACTTTTCAAATTTTGTTGCCTGATTGATCTAAATTCAAAATGAAATAGGAAATTGAATAATTAATGACTGCTTTTTTTTTTTTCCTTTTGGTAAATAGAAATTAATGACTGTGATAAAGAATTTAGTGTAATTTAAATATTTGGTTGTTTTATTGGTAAAAGTGTGTTGGTGCTGTGTCAGATGTCTGACAAATCTGCCTTCACCAGGTTGTGCATTTTATTCGGATCCGCTTCTTCAAATTGCAAATTGGAAGTTTGGAACAACCCCAAATTGCCTCCTTAACTAAGTATTTAGTGCAATCAAGTCCCCCAGCTAACTTTTATTCTAATAATGGAGGCCGCCGCAAAGAAACCTGGTTAAACCCCAAGTTAGTCCCTCAATTTTTTGTATAGACTCTTGAGTGAGTCCCTTAACTAAAAAAACCTTTGATTTGATCTCTAAAATTTTATAATTTAACTCCAACTTAATCTATCTATTAAAAATCACGTGACATGTCCTGTTATTTGATGAAAACAAGAAGACATGTCAAAATATTGTGACACATTGAATGTTAATCATAGAAAAAAATGACATGACAAAGTAATAAATTCATGTAATTCTCATCCAATCTAAAAAAAGTGGGGCTCACCACCTATATAAATATACAATTTCTCTCCCGTTCTTCACACCTCAAATGCGATGTTATTAACTATATTACACTTGCTATTCTTTTAGGGTTGGAATGGGAAAAAAGGAGAAAATATATAAATTTGTGTAGGTGGTGAGCCCTACATTTTTTTGAACTAGGTAGGAATTATGTGGATATGTTATTATGTCATGTCATTTTTTTCCATGGTGTACATTCAATGAGTCACAATATTTTGACATGTCATTCTACTCCTATCAATTAATGGGATACATCACTAGATTTTTAATAGAGAGATCAAGTTGGAGCTCAATTATCAAATTTTAGAGACTAAATCAGAAATGGTTTTAGTTGAGAGCTCACTTGAGAGTTTATACAAAAGTTAAGGGACTAATTTAGAGGTTTAACCAAAAAGCTTTTGTCCCAAACCCTTAACTACATGTCTACAACAAGGGTCAAGGGTAACTTGGATAGAAAATTCTTTTACCGCCTGGCCATAATAATGCTTCCAGATGG